TTGCTGTTAGCTCACAGCGGGCAGGACCTGGAGCTAGCACCAAAGCTGGATCTCTGAAATCATCCAGTCACGTTTTGCATTGAGAATTATTTTAGAGTAATTCCCATGTACACCCAAACTAAACTGGGGAAAATATGCTAACAACCAAAGCAGAAGAGCAGAAAGCAGGTAGGTAACACTTCTGATCTAAGGACCCTGCTGTTACTTTTTCCACACCACCATTATCTCGTTTTATGAGCTGGTAACCAGGGCACACAGAAATTACATGAGTTGCCCAAGGTGATACAGCGAAACAGCAGCACACCAGAGAATAAAACATAGATCTTGCAAGTCCTAATTTGCCGCTCTGCCTGCCTCCCTCTCATACCTGTTGTGTTCCCAGGATACAAATATGGCTTTGGTAAAATGGAGTTCAGGCGGAATGCATTTCCTGATCATGTACAGGAGTACGTATTATAAAAGCACCCTTATCGTTGCCTTTCCATGGAGCAGCACTGGGCCATTGCACTTGAAATTTCTGAGGAATTAAAAAATAATCTATAACGTACAAACTATGCCCTAACACTTCACTGCCCTGTTCAGGACAGCACTGCCTACCCAAGAGAGAGGAGACTAGAGCCAGAGTCAGAAATATGGCTGAGTTGCCAATTGTTTCTTACAGGGGAAAGGCCCATGGAGTGAGCAAAGAAATCAGAGAAAACACAGTTGCATGGATGCTTGCGGGTGGAGAGGGAGGAAGGGCCTGCCACAAAAAGAAAATAACAAATGAAACCCTCCTCTCTTACTGCTCAGCAAGGGCAGGGGAGGATGTGCAGCCAAGTCAATTGAGGTTAGGAGTCAAGGGTGCCTGCAATTTAACCCTGGATCTGGCTCTCACTTAGTTGTAGGCATTGGGCAAGTCAGTAAAGTTCTCTGCCTTCATTTCTCCATCAGTAAAATGGGGTCTGGACTAATACTTACACCACAGGGTGGATTAAAGAGTGGGGGGTACAAAGCTTTGAAATGTACAGCTGTAGATCAGGGTTAAATAGCTCTGTTTCTGCCATAAGCAGTCACTTTGGGGCAATATATGCTGACATGATGTTATAGGACCAGTGTTAAATGCTAGAAAGATGGGAATGTTTATTAAATGGATAGGTTAGCTTCAGGGGAAAGGCTTATGTGCTTCATGATGTAAACACATGATTTTTCAATAGGTACCAGAATGCAAGGGGCAAATATTTTTCTTTATTTTCTTTTAAATTTTGTACACACAATATTGGGCTGTCTGTGAAACGTACAGGTACCCAGGCAGAGCCCAAAATGTAACCTAAGGCTAACACTGAAGGATATGAACTAGCTTTATCTTTCAAAAGCTGTCAATGTAGGGCTGATGCTTCATGTATGACATTCAGGGCAGAAGCACCTACACATACAAATAATGCACTTAAGAGCATTGAAAGACAAGATCTTAATCTCAAGAAAAAAATGACGTCTCTCCAATGTGTCAGAACTTCAAAAGTAATTGTGAGATCTGACAGTGCTGCTGGTGATTCTCTTAAAGACTCTTTATAGCTCCTCTTACAGGGACCTTGGGCTGATTCATGTTGATCGTGTCTGACAGCTAGCATTTCTGTTAATAATAATCATAAATAAAGTGGACACGGTTGCCTGACCTGAAATGAGCATATCTATAGTGCCATATCCATTACAGCACAGTGGATCTGTGACCGCAAATCAGGAAAGGTCCAATGCTCTTGACACTATGTATTAAAATAATATCTGTCTTTTAAGAGCTCAGAACCTTTGTCTGCTATCTTTTTCATTAAAAGTGTTCCTTAAGAGAGAACATGCACACTAGAACAGACCTACAGAAAGGAGATATTACAGAGGATGAAAGATTGCAAACCTTTGCATTCTTTTTGTTTATTACACAATAAAAATATATATGTGAACAGCTCTATTCTCCCTTATATCTCAGCTCCTCCTTCATGTTCTCCTGCATTGAAGTCATAATCCTGGTTTTATGCCATCATAAATCTGCTGACATGTGAAAAATTATACTATTATCAAACACATCAAAACAGAATTATGATTTCACTGCTGCAGGACCAAATGCAAACAGGAGCTGGGTTATAAGAAAGTGAAGCCTTATTAATTTCTGGGCAGTGGTTTGCTGCTAGAGATATGGAAGGTAGTAAAGATTTATTTTTTTTAATTTGCATAAAACCCCTGGTTGTACTTATACACAAATAAGCACAACTCATTCAAAACAATACAGGAATTACTTGCAGATATAGGGAATCACTCTCAAAAGTATCAGAAATAACACACTTAGAATCTTTCCATGTCAGGTGACAGGCTGAATTAAGAGAGAAGTTTCGCAAAGTACTTTAAGGGGGGTCAACGTGCCAGACTATGCTGAGCCCACCGGGGCAGGCAACTTCCAGGGACGCAGGCCCTCCACTGAAAACCCCCCACCCCAGAGATTCAGGTCCAGCAATGGGTAGATATCTGCAATGTTGCTGACCAGGGAGAGAAGAACTAAACCACACAAGAAATTAGAATAAAGAGATTAATCTGTCAGCCAGCGAAAAAGTTGTATTTGGTGAAAAACACAGGTCAGATGTTACACAGCAGTAAAAAAGCAGCAAAGCCTAGATTCTCCATGTTTCCCGTTAAAGAAAGGTTCCTGCTCACTCACCGCCTTTGCGTATCTACACAGCATGACAAACCAGTGCCACCGCTCTGCCAGGTAGGCCAAGGCTGGCTAGACCATGGAAAAGCCTCTTCTCTCCAGGTGTGTCTTTGAGACTGCTACCAGAGCAACCCGAAACCCGAGTCTCAAACAGTCCTCTCCTCTTAACTCCCTTTTCACAGGCACTGACACAGTGTTCAGTCCTACACAGGGGTTATCTAAAGCCAAAGTTCTAAGCCAAAATAGAACCCTGATATAAAGTACAACACACAGATCTGAAGCTCTTCTGTAATGACAACACGAAGACAATGTTTTCCTCACTCATATCTCCAGCCTTGTCCAGCCTCCAATGTGCTATCTAAGCAGAGAAAAGTGAAATTAAACAAGTTTTATGAGCATCAGAGCAAACAGATCTTGGTCTCCTACTGATTTAGGTTTAGGATGAACTCTGGAGTCTAAAGAATCCGCAGGCTTTGACTGAAGCTCTTCTCAGAGTATTTTTTTGAAGTATCTCCCCCACGGAAGGGGGGGCATGTTCTGTAGTGTCTAATAAGGATAAATCTACATTGTAATTTTCTCTCTGTTCCCTCATCTGCATAGCTGCCTGTTTTCACAGAACTTGATAATTTTTTTCATCTAAATGTCCTGTGGAAAAAGTCCATATCATATGGGCAGCTTCTCCACAAGATACAAGCCAGTTGACAGCATACACCCAGAAACACAGTCTCTGCGGACAGCTTTGTTTCCTTTTCCACAACATACAAATCATCCTTTTTTTTCTTGCAAGTTACCATTAAAAAGTTTATATTTGAAAGGAGTTATTAAAGGAACAGCTCCTCAGAAAGATGAAAATCAATTTACTGCCATGTAAACTGAAGGGATAGGAAAGAGGTTTTCTCATAGGATGCAAAGTTAACTTCAGAAAGATTATTTCATCACTTGGTCTGTGCTTGCACTGTGTAGAGTGATCACTTTCAGATGCATCCTCTGAACAGGTACAATCAGCCATGCACTTATGGATATGGTTTTAATAGGGTTATCTACTGTATTCACATCTGTTCTGCACCTGTTCTTCCTGCTACCACAGTTAAGAGCATAAAGAAAGGGAGAGTTATGCATTACTTAGTTCACTGCAAATGAATCCCAGAGGTGAGTATCCCAGCAAGTGGAAATGGCTGGTGAATTAGGAAATCTATGAGAATAACACATTCTGGACAGCCAGCGCTACTGTAAGATAAGTAGCCACTGATATTTCACATACCTGTGCTCATCAGTTCCAATGCCAATGTGCATTTTTTTCAAAAGTAGGTTAGGCAGGACTCGCATTTCAGGTTGGGAAAACAGCACCCAGGAAAAAGGTGAGGTGACCAGCTGATGGATGCTCCTCATCCCTGCTCTGTGATTTTCTGAAACTCATTCTGGTGGGAAGATGTACCAGTTGCAACTGCACAGACTCTTGGTATGACCCAGGAGGCACTTGCCTTCTAATTAAAAAGTCCCGATGTAGTGTGAAAGCTACTGGGGATTATATCTGAACAAAGATGAAGTCTTTCTGATCCTTTCTATGATCACTAAAAAGGTTTCAAATTTGCAAGTGCTTCAGTGCAGTAGTTCCCATATATTATTAATAATAGAATTTATTATTTGTTATCAATAAATTACTCGGAAAAGAAGGACTCATAACTCAAAAGTTAAAAAACAAGAGTCTCAGAGGCAGGATAACATCTTTCAAGGGGCATGGGCACAACTTTGTTCTATCTTCTAGGTAGGAAGAAGGAACTCAGTGATGGTTTCAGCTGTGGGGCATCTTGTACCTTTGGGCATCCAGAGCACACAAGGAGGAAAAGAGGGCTCACAGAGATACTGCTATTCAGCAAGACTCTGGTCTTGTGCTGGTGAAACACGTGCATACCAAGAGGGGAGTCTGTGCCCAAAGTGCTTAAGAATAACAGTTACATTTCACCACCTCACAAAGGCATCTTTCTGGAATCAAGTCAGAATATTTATATAAATAAATACTTGAATGTGGCTGCCATTGGCAATACTAACCGGTTTTAGGGATAAATGTTCTTCTGTTCATATGAGGTAAACCTAAGTGAAATGGGTGAGGGGGGGACTCCACTGCAAAGGCAGTGCAACCACACAGGATTTGTGCATGTTGCAAAACGAAGAAACTGGAACCTAGGACACTTACCCTGGCCTTGCTTTTCTGCTGAGAGATATAGCTGGTACTGAATTAGCTCACCTTTAGGGCTAGCCTCCCCACCATGTACTAGTTACCTGCTTTGGTCTGCATCCCTCTTTCACACCACTGCAAGCTTACCTGCATTTGATCGTTTCTTTGGATTTTTGAGACTTCGGCACCTGCTGCCGGCAGAGCTGCTGTTCTCGCTCATGGAGTCTTGTGCTGAAGAGGCACTCCCTGTCGCCTCACTGTCCCTCATCATGCTCTCGTAGCCGCTGCTCCCCCCGCTGTGGTAGAAGAGGGCTGTTTTCCCCATGGCGGGGGGCAGCTCCCCGCTCAGGACACTGCTGTTGTCACTCCCGTGCCCACTGCTGCAGCGGTGAGGTTTCCGAGGAGGGGTGATCTTGCTGTAAGGTGAAGGCAGCATGTGAACAGCTGGCTTCTCATCTCCAAGAGGGCCCCCGTGCTCATCTGCCTCTGAGCTTCCCCGCGGCTGTAGGACTCTGGCACTGGTGCTCCCTTGGAGCAGCTCTGAAATCCGCCCGTTGACAGCCCGAAGGGGCAATTTGGAAGCAAGGCTGGAGCCCCGGTTTCTGCTGAGGGACTGCGTTGACCAGGACATGTTCTTCCCACTGGGAGGCAGACTGGAGCTCTGCCCTACGGACTGAGGCAGAGACTTGGTCGAGAAGCTGAGAGTTTTGGTGGCAGAGGCAGACAGGCTGCGGGCCTTGGGACTTGCCAGCAGGAGCTTGCTGACTGCAGAGATCTTTGACTGGCTGGCTTTTGGGGAGGCACCTGCGGACTGGGAGAGGCCCGAGTTGGTGGGTGAGGACATGACACTGCGGCTGAGGCTCCTTCCAGCCCTAGGCATGGTGGTGTCTTTGCCAGGGCTCATTTTGGAGCTCACAGAGGACAGGCTTTCTGCTCTTTCCAGTGACAAACACTCATAGTGGCTTCCTGTGGACCTCCCAAGGGAGTTGGTCCTGCTGGCGAGCTGCTCCAGTTTGGCACTGAAGAGCTTGCTGCTGCTGTTGTTGCTGCTGCTGCTGTTGTTGCTGCTGCTGTCAATGCCAGGGCCCTTCTGTTTGGCATTCAGCTCCTCGGGGAAGCTGGCCAGGAAGGACCCGGGCTGGCTGGAGGGACTGCTCGTGGTGCTGCTGGCTGCACTGTGCTGGGGGCTGGCTCTGTTCTTCTGATCCAAGCTTGACTTTCTCACTGGTGGCAGAGGAGGTGTCCCTTTGGGACGAGTGAGGACACAGTGTTTGGGAGAGGCCATTTTCTTGTCAAGGCTAGCCTTAGAAAACTGGGAGAAGGCAGGAGAGCCAACTCCACTGGCGTCAGTGGCAGTAGGATAGAGGTGACTGTCAGGCTCCTCCGGCTTGCTTGCCTTCAAGAGCCCTCGAGGGAGGCTGCCATTCTTCAAGCCGTCACTGGAATGAACAGGGCTTTGGGTTGCAGAGCCGGATGCTGCCACCTCACACCCATCCACGATCCTCTTTAGACTGTCAGATCCTGGGGAGATAGAGGCATCTCCACTGCTGCTGCTAAACCTGTCCACTGAGGACTGCTTTGTGCTGTGCTCAGGCTTGGCTGAAACTGCAGCCGTGTCAGGCCTTGGCCCATCACTGCTCCCAGAGCTGTCCTTTTTTACATCTTCTTCTCTCTTCAGCCAAGGGTCTTCAAATTTGATATCCTTCTTAGCACTGGATTCTTTCCCGTCATGGGGATGAGCAACCTTTGGGTCTGCAGTTACTGCTGGTACAGCGTCATCAGTGTCTTGTACTTTGAAGGGATTAACGGCAATACATGGATACACGGTAATGTTTGTCTTCATTGGGATGTAGCCTTCACAGCTGCTGAGGCTTGCGGTATTCTTGATTGTGACAGTAGTTTTCCCTAGAGCTGATATTTTACAGCCTTTGATTGGTGGCACTTTGCCGAAAGCTTCCTCCCCTATTTCCGACAGTATAAGCATGTTGTCAGTCACTGGCTTCTGTTTGTCACTTACGCAAATCATGCTGGCACTTTGTATGGTGCTCGCGAACTCGGAGACAGGGGGTTCTGCCATTGCTTCCCCATGCCCATAGCATGCCTGGGCTATGAAGCTGTGGCACGACTGTTCACCATCACTCCCTGTGCTCATTTCACTCAACCATGAGCTGATGGATGAGCGCCTGCTGCCATCGTCCTGGGATTTGTCATCCAGGCCCAGCTTTGGAAGTGGAAGGAACTGTGTGATGCTGACTTCAGACACGGGAGCTGCACTGGAGTAACATTCAAGATCTTCAGATATGCTGCTGATAATACTGACTGGCCTAGACCCAGAGGCCAAAGCCTGCACAGAGCAGTCGCTGTTAAAACTGATGATACTGGTTGGGCGCCCATTGTCAAGGACCCCACTAATGGTTAGCTCTTCTACAAGGGTGAACACCAGCTCGTCCTCTCCATTCAGCTCTAATGGCTGCTGCACAGTCACCATGGTGGTGCTCAGAATCTCCTTCTTGGATTCTGGAGAAATGCTTCGTTGCCGATCTTCATCGAGAACGGTCTCTTCAAAATCCCCATTGCTGGAGGACACCGACTTCTTCATGATCTGAGGGCTCATGCCTACAGGTGGGGTCCGGATTTCAGGCTGCAATAAAGATTCACTAGATGTCACCCCAGTATCCTTACTCAGGGGAGCTGGTGGGGGAGTGGAGCTGGGCAGGACTCCTTTCTGTGTATAGACCTTGCACCTCTGGGAAGGAGAAGTTGGTGGCTTGTACTCAGAAGTCTTCGAGAGGCTCGCAATGCCAAGCCGGGGCGAACCCATTGGCCGAGGTTTGCCTTCCACAAATCCACAGGTGTTGAGACCTTCTCTGCTGCTCTGCAAGCTGGCACTGTGTGCTAACTGGCAAGAGCTAAGCTCTTTACTAGAGCTGCCTGTTACACTCCTTGGAGAAGAAGGAGTTGAAACATTAGTAAGAGCTCCAGAAGGAACAGGGGAGTGATTTATCTTAGTTTTGCTGGGTGTTGCATTTATATTTTCCTTGGCTTCTCTATCAGGATGCTGACATTCTGGCACCGTATCTTCCTTATCCGAGTCTGGTAAGTGGCTAAGCTCTGCCAGCTGACTTGAGACAGAGCACTTAGACATCTGGTCTGAACTAAATTGAGCAGGCATCTCTTCAAAGGGAAATTTGTCAGTCTCTTCACTGCCATCTATGCAATCCAGCCTCTCCTGGAGCTCTGCAAAGGTGTTGCACTTCAGGCAGTCTCTTTCAGATGTGCTGGGCCCTGATTCACTAACTTCCTCCAACCTGCCCTCATTTTTGGTCTTTTGCAGAGCAGGAACTATGGGAACAAAGTCAGGGGGACCCTCATTATCTGTCAGTTCCTTATCAGAAAGGGCAGTGCCATTGGGGCCAACATAAATCACCGTGTCACACGACTGCTCACTGCTGGACGAATAATCAGGATCACTTGATAAATGCAAAATAGGGAAGTCTGGGTCAACAGTGTTTCTAGACTGGAAAGGCCTCAGCTGGGTTGGCCTCCGCATCCTGCCCTCCTCACAAGAACTCTCTCCTCCAGAAGAACTTGATGTGTACTGTAATATGAGAGAGAGAGAGAGAGAGACCACGACATTTCGGCATTGCAAACATCTCCTTGCACAAAGCGCATACACAAAAAGGTCACAGTCACATCTAAACTGGGATATCTCTAAACTAAGGCACAGAGCTCTGAAGCTTCTTATCCACAGTCCTACAGCAAACACACAACAGTGTTCAATGGAGAACCCAATGCCCCAACTCAGTGTCCCACTCAAAATCATGAGACTTCAAAAAAAAAGTACTGAATAAATGGATTAGGATCCCTCCCTTAATTGAGCCTGGCCAAAGAAATCAGATATTTGGCAAAGGCTTTGCTGATTTTGTGCGTGTGTGTGTATGTAAATAGGAACAAGAAAACTCATTACACAAATAAGGCACAGAAAATAAAGACAATCCCCGTTTGGTCATACTACCAGTGTGTGGAATTGTATAACGTGCACTCAGAGGTCTCTGGAGACACACTGCTGTGATGGTGTCTGGACTGAATCCCTTCACTTGCCTCTCTTCAATCCATTGACAAAAAAGGTTTTGTCAATCCATAGGCTGTCAATTTAAATGAAACGCATAAAATTCACTCGTCGTGCCCAATTCACACCATAAGCTGTAGAGAAGGAACCAGGACTCTAAAACATGAAAGTGGATACAGCCCATCCTCACTCTACTTCTTGGAAAATCTATCACCCGTATTTAGAAGCAATGGGAATAAAAGGCATGAATGCTGGCAATGGACACACTGCTTTGCATTTATTTTGCTCCTGCTCTCTCTGAGAAGCATAGAGGATCTAATTCCTCATTAATCACAATTTCCTTTAACTCTACAGCAGTTTCATTCCTGATTATTTCATTAGCACTAAGAGCATAACTGAAAATAAATGCTCTCTGACAGCTATATCATTAAATGAGGCCAGCTTACAAACCTGCTATAGCAGGTATGTCTGAACTCACTCCTCTATATCTGAAGCTGAAGCGTTTAACCCCCCTAGTCTCTGCTATGTGCTGTAAGCCACTTGCATAGGACAGGGTACATACAACCCACGCACTTTGGAATTGATTACTGATTTTGTTACATGCTGCTCTACCCCATCAAGGATCCTTTAGGGACCTTCTTCCTCCCTCCTCCACCATTACAAGAAGGGAGTTATACATTGTCTTACCTTAGTTTTCTTTTTCTTCATCCTGAGGACCCTTGATGCAATCTGGATGGTGGACAGCGTCTCAGCATAGTTCCCCGCAGCGGCTGAAATGTGAGCTATCATTGTGGTGCGGCAGTTCATATTCCCCAAGGACTCCCGAAGCAACATGGTGAGCTTGCTGTCTCTGCAAAATAAAATGAATTAAGGCTACATTAGCAAGCAAGGTTTCACTTTGACCATCGTGATGTGACTTGGGTCTCAGCAAGATTTTTTCTCCTCTTTTTAATGGAATCCTAATTAGTTTCCTTCCTCAGGTTTGCACTATGTTGTGTTTGCAGCTGAGCATGCTGAATGACCCTGGACTACAATTCAAACTTCTTTCCTCTTCCCAATTCCCCCCTTCTGTCTTCTTCTGGCCTCAGTCCTTCTGCACTGTTACCACTGCCAATACAGAGATGCAGACCAGCGTCAGAGACTAACTGTTAAGGAGCTGCTGCAGCAAACATCGAACTGCTGCCCTTTTCCAGTGCACAGTGTGCAAGCAAACTCTGGCCCAGCTCTGGAGAGCAAGAGGGTAGTGGATTAGATTAGAGGACCCAAATTTTTTCTTGCCTTCTAGGGCACTGGGTAACAATAATAATAATAATAATAGTTAAATAACTGAATTAATTTTGGATTATGCTGGTGATATACAAAACAATCAAGCCTTAAGACTTCGCACAATTGTTCTTTCATATTAGATCTTTTCTTCCACTGAAGCAGAAATCAAATTTTCTGTTCTTGCCATTTACTCTATTGTTCAACATAGGATAGCTTTTGAAATGCTGATGCCTTATTGTGGGGCTGTCTGTGACTGGACTAAGAATATGAATTTTAACAGCATAATGATGCATATATAATGCTTCTGTGGTGGTCATCTACTCCTGTAGTCAGAAATGCATGATATAATTTTTAAAGAGAGCTTTAGCTACAAGGTGTACAGGTCAACTGGATGGTTAGTTGGGAAATGGCATCCTCTTGAAGAGAGCCTCTCCTACACTAAAGGTTGTAGATGATAGTTACATATGGCTGAAAGCAAAGATAGCAACAGCCTGATATTTACCTATTGCTAAAGGAATTGCTTTCACTGTTGTAATGATAGCAATACCTTCAGTGCCTGGGATCAGATTTTTGGGGCTCTGTTCCATATCTGCTAATGACCTATGGTGCATGTGTGCCCTTGGTCATCCACTTAACATTTCCAGCTCACGGGAGTTCTGCATAAAGCTACAACTGCTGGGAACTGAAGCTATGCCTACTGGATGGGACTGACAGACAAACACCAAATTTTCGAACCTCTCTTTCTGATTGAGTAAACGACAGCATTTGGGATGCACATTTTGATGCATCTAGCAATAACTCCAGGGAGCTCATAAATTGTGCTTCTCCTGAGATCTCCAGTACTTGCGATTTCAGCTAGACTAGCAATACTGGAAGTAAAACATTTTTTGTTTCAGGATTTCTGCTTCCATCTGCTCCAGACACATTGAAGACAGTCTGGTGTCTTTGAGAAGCAAACAAACATCCATAAAGACTATACTGAGACAGCCTCACTCATTTCACTTGTGACCTAAGGCTGCTTTGAATCCACAGATCCAGAGTTAATAGGCTGCTGTATTTCAGGTTAGTGGCCCTCCTTTCCATCAAGGAATAATTAAGATGTCAAATTTTGTACATCAGTTACTGCCACTTGGAAATTATTAACATCTGCACAGAAATCAATAACAAGCCTTTCATTTGCTAGTGCTTCGATCATAGCAAAACATGAGACGACAGGGGAAAGGGCAAAAGAATACATTCTGAACATGTCAGTCTCCTGAGAATACATAACCCATGCAGCCAGCATCAGCACACTGCGGCGTGGCTCTCCTAGAGGTATATACATTATGAATATAAAATAATATCTGTGCCATCTGCCTTCTAGTGAAACACACACTTGCAAGAAGAATGATGATACAGAGGAAATACTTATTCTATAATTCAAATGATCCTCTGACATATATCAGATAGGAACTAAAGGGCAGATTTGTTTAGGATTAAAGCCTGAAACCCAGCAGCAAAAGAGCCCAGCCAACACTGATTTCTAATTTCAGAGTTTGCTCATTCAGCACAGTCTGCATCTTGACTATCAACTTCACTTTGCACCCAGACAAAATAACTAGCCTTATGTCATTATTCTACACTGAGAAATAAAATAATAGGAAGAAATTTGCTAAACACAGATTTTTGTCGATTCTGGACATTATCATAAGACAAGTTCACCTGTTCAAGGTTCACTGATCTCTCACAATAGCACCTACTAACTTCTAAAGTAAAGAAAGAAAATCAAAGAGAAAATAATAACACCAAAATGTATGGCTTAATTTTTAACTCAACCTATCCTCATCAAGTAAAATATTGGTAAAATATTTTGGATGTCTCACTGAAATTTGCTTGACAGACAGTGTGAGACACAAAGTAGAGGCTTTGTTCTTCTGAACGCTGACATGGCATTTCTGCCTGAAAAAAAGAAAGGCTCTGAACTGTTTCATTAGGTGATTCATGAGCTGGTATTTGCAAAACCAAAACTTCCTGTGAAAGCAGAAGTTTTACAGAGAGAAGGTCTGCACATCTGCACTGGAAGAGCTTTGAGAAGGAAGACCTTTGTTGATCTTCTGGCTGTGCAAACTAAACTAAGGCACAGGAAATTTTGAAGAAGCTCACAGAAGGGCTGCTGCTCCTGGGTGCATGTTGCTCATTGTATTGAGCAAAGGCTGGCTTGCAGAAGGTCCCAGATTTCTCATAGCAGCATAGTGAAATGCACCCATGTCTTTATAGCAAATGGGAGATCTTCAGGAATGCTAATGGTCCATTTCTATTCTGCTCCAAAAGCAATAAAATGATATGCCAGAGCAGCACAATGACCCCATTTTATATATCTGTCTTAATTTTAGATGTGTTTCTATCCCATCCACTACTGTTTTTGTAGTTTAGGAAATTTACCATAACCCATCATGAATATGGGGATATAATACACAGAGAACAATGAAGGTGGGGTCAGGATACCACACTTCAGACTCCAAAGCCTGTATATCAGCAAGTCAATTCTGCAGCCTTTTCAGTACTTAAAAGTTACCTCATTTTTCTAACTGCATCACTTGGTCTAACAAAATACATTACCCTTACTTGTAAACCTTTTCTTGCCTAACTCCTTAGATCATCGTGGCTACAGCAAAATACTGCTAAATACTGTTCATACATCCCACACAGGTAAAACCCCAAAATAAAGTATGCAAAGTTCTATCTCCGGAAAAGTCCAGAGGCAGGAGTCCTGGGGGCAGGAAACTAAACTCAGATGTCTCTAGGAAGTATGTCAGCAGGTACGGTACAGGGGATCCAGAAAGGAAGAACTGTGCAGCTTGCCAGGCAGAAAGCTCCAGTTCATTCCATAGAGTAGCAGCCCTCCAGTGGAGAGGAGCCCTCTCTTCTCCACAGTGCTCCCTTACCTCCTCCATATTTCCACCCTCTCACGTTACAGCAGCTAGTGGAGCACTTATAGTGCTCTTTTCTGAATCTCTCAATAGCGACCATAAGGAACCCTAGCAGGTATTAAACCTCCCCAAAAGAGAGATGTGGCAGTGCTGCAGTGAGCACTGCGTTCTCTATTTCTTCTCTTCTGAGACTTCCACCATGCAAACTGGGATCAGTGTAAATTAGTCCGTTCACTTGCTCAGTAAGAAGGAAAAATGTCCATCTTCATGCTCCTCTTACACATATCTATATTTTCCTTCCTCATGAATGATTAATTATACTCAGATTCAAACAATACAGAATCTTACATTGAAGAATTAAGTACTCAAGGTCATGATATGTTTCCTCGGACATTGCATAAATCCCACTTGCCTATGTGCATTAAGTCAAAGTGTTTAATTTCATGACTGGATACTATTTTTCCACTAGACCCCTGCCTCAATCACTGCGCAGGATAAACAGTGCTCACTGAACAAGAAGTTATTCAGTCTTTCATTTAATCCTTGCCTTTTAATGTGCGGACTTGTGCCTTATCTACTGTTAGGACTATACAAACTCAACTCTGAATCCAGAATGACTGATTTCTTCAAAGGTTTGTTTGTTGTTTTTTTTTTTTCCTGTGGAGCTTATCAGTGCAGTATCTGATGAATGTCTCTGAGGTGAGGTATATAATCCTCTGATAATACCTACAGCATTGAAGACTTCACTAAGTATAGGTGTTTGGTGTGAAGCACTGATCTTTCAGAGTACTGAGCATTATATAGTCTTTTATATTCGAAGTACAGCTAACTTTGACTTCTCTTGCAGAGAAAATGGGGCAGCTGGTTCTCAATCTAGGTACCCAGAAAACCAGGAACATACAATTAATAGCCCATCTAAAAATTTTAGGAATGCATTGGCAGAGCCAGTTCTGAAGGTGGTACCAGATCCCTTCAGAATACCTCCCTTCTCTTCCATAGCCCTCGGTCCCATTTTCCATATTCCTTCCAACTTCTGCTACAAATTAGGGAAGGAATTTATTGACAATGACCACATCATTGTACAGTCCTGATTCATCTCTAAAGCAGGTCCTTTATCTGCCTTGAAAAAGATGATAATTGAGGGAGGGAGGTGGGGGGAATCCTGCAAAGACAAGACAATATATAGCCCATGAGGCCAAAGAAAGTTAGCCAGGACAACCTTAATTTTGACATTTCCTGCCCCTGTAGTGATTGATTTCACAATCTGAATGCTCTTATTATATATATTTTGTGTAATTTCATGTGGATTTGTGTTTACACTTCAATGAGACATCAACAAGCCTGGAACCTTTCTATGTATTAAAAAGCCTCAGCTGCTGAACTAGCCAACTAGCTAGCAGCAGCAGCCGGCTGCCACCTTTTGTACGGACAAGCAGTAGAGAAGGAGGACATGACTCACAATTTACCAACAGTTTGCAAGTATATTCTGTAGAATATACTAGCGCTATATACTGCTATATACTGCTAGTATATTCTGTAGAAGTACTTTCTACTTGCCTGTAGAAAAACAGTGAGACTCAGGAGCATCACAGTCCTTTCCTGTGCTGTAGGAGAGATGTGCTCTCATGTGTTCACATCCTTTTTGCCATGCTCTTCTCTCATCAGACAATCCTGT